TCCAGGTTCGTGACCTCCACTTTAAGTTGGTTTCGACTTGGAAAACGGAATGGTTCTGGTCCATTTATTATAGTGTTTGCTCCTTTTCTAGCTAGTTCATTTACTTTTTCATTCCCTTTATCCCTCGATTGGCTAGTACCTAGAGTAGGAGAACTTTCTTTTTGCCTAATTTGTTCAGCTCCTCTAGGCATTCTTTGACCAACTTCGAATTGATGGTTACTGAGCTGATCACTCTTAAGGCTGCTTGACTATTGAATAAGATAGCTATTTCTTGTTTCCTATCTAAGATAAGTTCTACGCATCTTTCTGTAGCATAGATTTGTAACACATTGTTTCAGAGTATTTAGTTTTCTTGTTCAAGTACTCCTATCCCTGTTCTTGCTTTGGATTTGGAAGCACAGCATATCAAATTATGATCTTTAAACTGCTGAGCAAACATTTCTTTCTTCCAACTCTTTTTGTTGCTTAATACTATAATATAGAGGTGTTTCTCAAAGTTGTACATTCATAATATGTCATCTACAGGGAGTTGGAGGAGTGGAATTTTCCTTTTGAGGGTGTTCCAAGCTCCTGAGCTGATAATTCTTCTAGTACTGTTTCTGTCAATTATCATTCTAATCATTGTCGCATTGGCATATGACAATGTACAATGATCTAGAATGACATTCGTTGATGTTGTTGAGCAGGTTCTATTGGTTCCTGTGATGCAGAAGCATGCCAGTCTCTTATTTTTGCCCAGGTTTTGCCTTCCTGTACATTGCAAAGATACTGTAACTATTTCTTCTTCCTGTGCCTTGTGCTTAGTCGCACGTTGGCGATTGTCTGTACTCTACATATAATATGCAGTGCTGTTTTCAGCTCTTCAAAATATGGTGGCTGCGTCGCTGATGTTACACCAATCCCGTATGTTTCTTAGTCAGGAATGTTGTTTTCTACCTGGGCCTCGCCTGTCCCTCTGTTTTTCCTTATAGAATTAGTTTAGGAATGTAGTATTTGTCTCCACAAAGTATATGGCCGAGGTAGGAAACTTTTCTTTTTTAACTATATTAAGTATTTCTGGTTCATAGCCTTCCATTCTTAAAACTTCTTCGTTGGTGGCATGTGCGGTCCATGGCACACGTAAAAGTTTCCGGAGAGTCCACATTTCGAAAGTCTCGATGCGATTCAGGGTTCTAGTCTTGAGAGACCACGTTTCAGCGCCGTATAGTAAGATGGGCCATATGTAGCATTTTACTACCCGTAGTCTAAGTGCTAGCGGGAGACTGCGTGCTAATAGGAAGTTTTTAAGTTAGAAAAATGTAGTTTTTACCGAGGGGTAAACACATAGGGCAAAAAGTGTACACCTACATCCTCTATTCTTAGTACATCCCCTACATCCTCCAGTGCATCCTCGGTACATCCCCTACATCCTCGGTACATCCCCTACATCCTCGTACATCCCCTACTACATCCCCTACATCCTCGGTACATCCACTACATCCTCGGTACATCCCCGGTACATCCCCTACATCCTCTAGTACATCCTCGGTACATCCCCTGGAAATCCTCTCATGTGTATGCCATACATTTAGAATAATTTTCGTGATGAACCGTTTTACGTATCTAAAATATTTTTCGAGATATACTTATCTTGGACACACTGTATATATTTTTTTAAAATTTTATTTGAATGGTAAAAAGAAAGTTAAAATTTTGAACGCTATTATCTCCGAAACTATTAAATATATAAAAAAAAGATGAAGCACCATTTCGACTTACATTTACTAGAGGGATATAAAAATTTACAGGGTGTTTTTTTATTTAAAATAACAAAATTAAGGTTACTTTACTTACGACGAAACCGGAATTGTTATTTATGTTAGAGCGATCTCCCACTTTATTACGAGCTTTATTATATGTATAACTACACAAAATTTCTCAAACCTGTACAATTTATTGGCTAGTAATATAGTTTTTGTTGAATTCAAAAGGATAAAAAAAAATCAAAACCATTTAAAAAAATTATATGGGGTTATCGAGAATCGAACTAAGGCGCGCCAACCCATATCAAATCTTGCCAGAGCTGTAACAATCTCGGCTATTATTGTGCCTACAACAATTCGCCGTTACTTTTATTATACAGGGTGAGTCTTAAATAGGTGCAAATATTTTCAGGGCTGGTAGATCTCGATAAAAGAAACATATTTTTTCTTTACCATTTTTCAAATAAGTCCAAAATAACCGAGTTATTTAAGTTTGAAAATTTAAAAAAAAATTGATTTTTTTTAATTTTGATAGCCACCTGAATTTTTTCTGTATTTGCATCCCTTTTAGTGCCGTAACCATAGAGTAAAGCTGTAACTATGGTAATATCAGAGATTAAGAATTTATAACGTGGGAAAATTAGCGGTGAACAGGCAGTTCTAAAAAGTTTTCGAAAAATATACAGGGAAATTTAAAAGAAAATGCACGATTTTTAACATATTTTATTTGCAAAAAAAACATCATAGACGTGTTCTGGGGTCAAAATATACAACCCCTGAAAATATTTGCAATTATTTAAGACTTACCCTGTATAACAGCAGTTTATGCCTCGGTTTATGCAGTTTATGTCGGCGGAAAAAATAACTTAGTCATGCGTAAAGCGCTATATTATGTGGAAAGTTATCAATCTCGTGTTTTGAACCCCAAATAAAAATGAGATCTAGTAGCTACCGAGGATCTACCACAGAACAGATCTACTTTATAAAACAGACCTAAAAATAGGCAACGTTAAAGGCATTCGCATTTATGAACTTCGTTTTTGACGTATAGAGGGTACAATAATAATTATTTACACACACTTCCCTTTAATTCATAACGCTTACGGCACTATGCAATAAGATATGAACACACATGCCAAACACATTTTTGCTTAAACTTATACCAGAGATATGGATTAAAGTCTATACATCTGACTTATACATACATTTTGCGAGATATTTTGAGGTTATGAGTAGGGGTGAGCCACAAAGCCTTGAGTATCGATATTTCTATCGATATATCAAATAAAGGTCCATTTTCACTCCCATGAAATTTGTGCAAATCGGCTTGTGAAAATCGGCTTGTGCAAACTTTATTTAATAAATTCATTGAGAAAAACGGATGTGCACAAGCTAATTCACATACGTGAAAACCAAGTAACGATATATTTGTCAACAAATATCGATATAGCTATCGATATATAACAGATACCGCTATATCTCTTTATGAATACTTCATACGGAAATATCTATATCTATCTATATTCTCTATATCGATATTCGATCCTATTTGATTTCGTACAGGGTGGTTGTAAAATATTGAATAAATATCAACATCTCGAGAACCACATTTTTTTGGAAATCGCTCGGCCACATCAATTATTTTAATTTTTCCGGGGCAGATTATGCAAAAAATGAATATTATACAGGGTGTCTCAAAAATGCTTTGTCCAAAACAATTTCTTTTAATGGCAACCCTCGTGGCAACATAATTATTATTTTTCTGCATTTTTGAATTGCCCTTAACATTCTGTATATTTTCCATGTAAGTGCTATACCCAAATCCAAGCTTTTTGGAGTTATTCTCATTTAAAAATTAAAAAGTGAAAAAAAATATTAGAAAAAAACCTTTTTTAAGAGGATACCAAAGAGGATACCTTATGGAAAATGTATTCAAAAGACAACCCACAAATTTGGATGACTTGAAACATCGCATTCGGCAAATTACGCCCCAAATAATTCGAAATTCATCCCCGGTAAATCCTCGGTACATCCCCTACATCCTCTAGTACATCCTCGGTACATCCCCTACATCCTCGGTACATCCCCTACATCCTTTAGTACATCCTCGGTACATCCACTACATCCTCGGTACATCCACTACATCCTCGGTACATCCCCTGGAAATCCTCTCATGTGTACACCATAAATCCCCTAAGTGTTCACCCCTCGGTTTTTGCATAATTTGTTTTCAGTTTAACTTCTTCATCGCAGTCCCATCGTTCATTGATCATGGCACCTAGATATTTAAATCGTGATATTCGCTCTATAATATTTCCATCCACAGTCAATGCGGTGTTGATTATAGGCTTATAGGTAGATGAAGTTTGGTCTTGGTAGGGTTGATTTTAAGACCGAAACGACTTCCCATGTCCTCTATCTTATTTATTATTTGCTGGAGATCTTCTAAAGTTGGTGCTAGTATTGCCGTATCATCTGCATACCTTATATTGTTAATTGGAACTCCATTAATCTTAATTCTCTTTTCAGGGCCATTTAAAATATCTTTTCGACGTATATATTAAAAAGTATTGGTGACAATATACAGCTCTGGCGAACTCCTTTACGCACATTGAAGGTGTGGATAAGTTTTTGTGAACTCTTATCTCCGCGGTTGCGCTACACTGCAACTGAAGTCTCCCGAATAGAGACGTTTGGGTTAAACGACAGCCTCTAGAATCCATGTGCTTGTAAAAAACTCAGTGTAGATTCATTCACAGTCAAAACTCATTGAAGGTGTGGATAAGTTTTTGTGAACTCTTATCTCCGCGGTTGCGCTACACTGCAACTTAAATCTCCCAAATAGAGACGTTTGGGTTAAACAACAGACTCTAGGATCCATGTGCTTGTAAAAAACTGAGTGTAGATAACATAAAACTGTAAAAAAAGAAAGGTAATTTAACTTGCAACCGCAATTTGCAACAGCTTCACTCTCTTCCGATACTGCAGGATAAATTCCGCAATCGGTCCGTTCCGATCTTCTCCCACTACACCCCCCTTCCCCCCCGCCGAGCGAGGAGAGATCGAGAGTTTTATGGATCGCCGTGACCCAGTTGGCGGCGGCGACGCGACGCCCGGCGTCCGTTCAGGTGGGGATAGGGCGGCGCGTGCGCCGGGGCCAGGTGCGGGCCCCGGCCGCCTCAACAGGTAGTGCGAGGTCCGGCCGTGGCCCGGTGGTTGTTGCATCCCCCTCATCGAGAAGCCGCCGAAGAACAAACACAAAACATGAAGCAACAGTGTTGTTAAGTCGGTTCCGGTGATTAGGCCAATTTTTTGCTTCGCGCTCGTTTAGAAGCTTTTTTATTCGCGTGCTACAGGTTGAATTTAATGGATTGGTTGAATGGGGAACTTTTGAGAATTTGAAGAGGTAAGTTATCCTATACAATTATTTTTTTTGTATGTATAATAATTAATAATTTTTTGAAAGTGGTTCCTAAAATAAAGATAGAAAATGATATTTTCAAAATCGAAACTTTGGTATCTACATATTTCCGTAATATAAACTTTTGCCGCAGATAAGATTAAGACTTAAAAAAAATAATCCTCTATGGGTATTTTGCCACTGCAAGAAAATCTACAAAATAAAATAGTTATTTTTTGTAAAGACTTCTGCGTTAATCCCAAACGGAAACTACTTGTCAGAAGTTAGGTTTACAGTTATACAAATTTGCCTAACGAACAAAAAAATGCTTAACGTTTCGGAAAGTTTATCTCTTTCCGTCGTCGGAAGCAAAAAAATACAAAGTATAAAAAAAAATTATTTAAAATATTTAAATTCAACTATTCGAAAAAAAATAAGAAAAAAAAACAATTTTCGAAAAGAGATAGACTTTCCGAAACGTTAAGCATTTTTTTGTTCGATAGGCAAATTTGTAGAACTGTAAACCTAACTTCTGAAAAGTAGTTTCCGCTTGGGATTAAAGCAGAAGTTTACAGTTTACAAAAAAATAACTATTTTATTTTGTAGATTTTCTTGCAGTGGCGAAATACCCATACAGGATTTTTTTGAAGAGATGAATACGATACGTAGGTATAGACATTTTTTTGACAAAAGTTGTCCCCCTCACAAACAAAATTGACGTGTTTTTGGATTTTTTGAAAAAAAAGTACCCTGGCCGTTATGCCTTGCGGAAGGTTTTCGATGGGCCACCCTGTATAGCTAATAAGTATATCTAGAATAATATTATTATATGAAATGTGAAAAATTCTTACAGTTTAAGCGTATATTAATAAATAATATTTTCTTGCCTTTAGCTGTTTATTTTTTCTAATTTCGAAAAATCGAAACTAGAGAAAAAAAATAAAAAGTAAAAAGAAAATTGTTTTGCTTGTCGTGAAGGGGGGAACCAAGCTCCACTCCCACAACCGGTTTCTGGGCCTACCCTTCATCAGGTGGGATGTCCAGAGGCTGGTTCTATACGGCAAGCAAAACTTTTTCAATATCAACAGACGATGTCGTAAAGTGTCGGTGAGATATTAGTGCATCTCCCGTCAAAAGATGTAAGAATAGCTAAAGCTGTAAGAATTTTTCATTTCATATATTGAGCGGGGCGAAAAACGCTCTTTACCACCTTTTGACGGGAGATGCACTAATATCTCATCGACACTTTACGACATCGTCTGTTAATATTGAAAAAGTTTTGCTTGCCATATCGGTGAGAACCAGCCCCTGGACAGCCCACCTGATGAAGGGTAGGCCCAGAAACCGGTTGTGGGAGTGGAGCTTGGTTCCCCCCGTTACGACAAGCAAAACATTTTTTTTTCTTTTTACTTTTTATTTTTTTCTCTACTTTCGATTTTTCGAAATTAGAAAAAAATAACAGCTAAAGGCAAGAAAATATTATTTATGATCATATAGATTATCACATAGAGCGCTACAAGAGCTATATAAATTTAGCAGCTAAATAAATAATTAATTTGCCTAAATGTTGTATGATTTATGTATTGATGATTATTTTGCATTAAAAATGGAGATAAAAAAGCAATTAAAACTTACCTTCTCAAGTTCCTCATACAACCAATCATTTAAATTCAACCTATACTAGCACGAATAAAAAACCTAAACGAGCGCGGAGCAAAAAATTGGCCTAATCACAGGAACCAACTTAATAACACTGTTTCTTCATGTTTTATGATTGTTCATAGGCAGCAATTGGAACACAATAATTACGGACAGATCTCATAGAAATGAAATATGTCAATAAAATGAAAATTCTTCATATTCTTGTAGTCTATTTATTAAAGTTTCTACAGGGTTGTTCACCATGCACGTACGACACGGGGTATTGTAGCTAAACGATTAGATTTTTACAAATTGTAAGTTTTGGGTTCGTTGAAGGTCTATTAGAGCTACAATTTAAAAATATTTTTACAAAATACAGAGTGTCCCAAATAAGTAAAAAATATTATAGTTGTATTTTTTTAAATAGAACACCCTGTATATTATTCTATTTTTGTATTCTACGATTGAAATAGAGGTAAATTTGATTAAGGTTTATCACACTTAAACCTTACCGTTTTTGAAATATTTTCAATTTTATGAAATTGCAGTAAAAATTTTAAGGTTTTATTCTTCTCCCAGAGTATCAAAGTTTTTAATACTAAATATTTACTGAATATTATTTATTGATCAGATATTGTGTTGCAATAATAAAAATTTTACTACCTTATACAGAGTGTCCTAAAATTTATATTAAATAATTACTAGCTTTAAACGGCAATAACTTGTTTAATTTAAATGGAAAAAACACCCTATATATTTTACGTAGATCAGATGCACAACGTAATTTTTTACCCATCTCTTCAAGGTTTCATAGAAAATGCATTTTCTTATAATTTAGACCTCATTTACCACTATATTCATGGAATATTGACATTTTAGCTTATTTTTAAAGATGTAACAAATTTTCAAAGGGTACAGATACTAATATTGTCGATATAGTTCGCTTATTTAATTAAAAAAAAACTGTTTAAATATTTTTTGTTAAAGAGGACCAATTAATATGATCCCAGTATTCAAACTACATTAATTGACTGTTTACATTGTAGTAATAATTGCTACAAATACTAAAAAACTGAATTTTGTGTGTGTATTAGACAGTGTGGTAAAAAGTAACACCTTATAAATTTTATTTCATTTATTGACGAATGCATATTTATAAAAACAGAGACAATCATTTTCATAACTTATTATTATATTGATTTCTGAGCCAAATCCACATTTATTTAGAATATTTTATTAATTAAAACAATTTAAAAGTATGTAATTAAATAATTTTTGGTGTTTTTGGTAGGAAATAATGGTGGTATACTCTTTTACAAAGATTTAAATAGTTTTTTTGTATGCCAATGGGCTTGAAATATTTACCACCTGTACATTTTGTACATATTATGGTGCTATAAAAAAATCTGAAATGTCAATATTCCATAGGTATAGTGATAAATGAGGTCTAAATTATAAGAAAATTAATTTTCTACAAAAACTTGAAGAGATGGGTAAAAAATGGTATAATACAATTATTTGATAGACAATTACATTGTGCATCTGATTCACGTAAAATATATAAGGTGTTCCATTTAAATTAAACAAGTTATTGCCGTTTAAAGCTAGTAATTATTTAATATAAATTTTTGGACACTCTGTATAAGGTAGTAAAATTTTTATTATTGCAACACAATATCTGATCAATAAATAATCTTCAGTAAATATTTAGTATTAAAAACTTTGATACTCTGGGAGAAGAATAAAACCTTAAAATTTTTACTGCAATTTCATAAAATTGAAAATATTTCAAAAACGGTAAGGTTTAAGTGTGATAAACCTTAATCAAATTTACCTCTATTTCAATCGTAGAATACAAAAATAGAATAATATACAGGGTGTTCTATTTAAAAAAATACAACTATAATATTTTTTACTTATTTGGGACACTCTGTATTTTGTAAAAATATTTTTAAATTGTAGCTCTAATAGACCTTCAACGAACCCAAAACTTACAATTTGTAAAAATCTAATCGTTTAGCTACAATACCCCGTGTCGTACGTAGAACAGTAATCATAGAGTATCACCTAAAAGACTAGACTATTTAGTAGTTTGTAACTAAATATGTTACTAATCTGACTAACGATAATGTGATTTGCCTATTATATTCTGTCTCAATTATATAATTTAAAATAATGATAAATTATGCGGATGATAGTGAGTATTGTAGCTAAACGATTAGATTTTTACAAATTTACAAGTTATCAGTTCGTTGAATTTAGAGTTAGCTAAAATTTTGAGTTAGCTACAATTTAAACATATTTTTACAAGATACAGAGTACAGGGTATTCCATTTAAATTAAAACAAGTTATTGCCGTTTAAAGCTAGTAATTATTTAAAATAAATTTTTAGATACTCTGTTTAAGGTAGTATAATTTTTATTATTGCAACACTAAATCTAGTCCATAGAAACACTTCAGTACAATATTTGGTTTTAAAAACTTAAATAAGCCTAGAGAAATGAAGCAATTACATTACTACAGTATTTTGACAAAAATCTAATTATTTCAAAAACGGTAAGATTAAAATGCGGTAAACCTTAATCAATTTTACCTCTATTTTAATCGTAGAAACTAAAAAATGTAATAATATACAGAGTGATCTATTAAAAAAACATATAACTTTGATATTTTTTTATTTATCTGGGACATTCTGTATATTTTAAAAACATTTTTAAATTAGTTTTTTTTAATTAGCTCTAACAGTCTTTCAACAAACCCAAAACTTACAATTTGCATAAATATAATAAAATTGTTTAGCTAGAATACTCCGTGTCATATGTGGTGAACGACCCTGTATAAGGTTTTTTTTTCAGTAATTCTCTGGTAAATTTATTTTTTTGAAAAAAATGTCTATACCTACGTAGCGTATTCATCTCTTCAAAAAAAATCCTGTATGGGTATTTCGCCACTGCAAGAAAATCTACAAAATAAAATAGTTATTTTTTTGTAAACTGTAAACTTCTGCTTTAATCCCAAACGGAAACTACTTTTCAGAAGTTAGGTTTACAGTTCTACAAATTTGCCTATCGAACAAAAAAATGCTTAACGTTTCGGAAAGTCTATCTCTTTTCGAAAATTGTTTTTTTTTGTAGAACAAACTCGTTGCGTACAATTTAAAAATATTTTTACAAAATACAGAGTGTCCCAAATAAGTAAAAAATATTATAGTTGTATTTTTTTAAATAGATATATGTATTGTATGTATATTATTCTATTTTTGTATTCTACGATTGAAATAGAGGTAAATTTGATTAAGGTTTATCACACTTAAACCTTACCGTTTTTGAAATATTTTCAATTTTATGAAATTGCAGTAAAAATT